ATCATCATTCTAAAGGGCTGGATATAGTCTTGTCTCTGGGGGAATTCATGGATTGGGGGCATCGGTGTGAGCTTTGCTCAGAGCGTTCTTTGTCAAACTGCAGAAACTCCCTTCGCTTTAATTTCTGTAAAATTGCTCAGTCCTTACATTGCTGTGTCAGCACAAAAAGCTATATAGCTCATTAGTGGTTTGAGAACTGCAGGCTCTGTTTGTACAATGGAAATCATGCTGGTCAGTCATGCTGTTGAAGTACTGTTAGTAAGAAAATTAGTGCTTGATGTATATTCTTTTAAACATTTCAGCTTCTGATCATGGTCAACATCAATTCCTTGCAAGGGACAAATATCTAAGCCTTAAAGTTTAAGGGGAAAAATCTCACACTCACACACACACACACACACACACACACACACACATATATATATATATATATATGTCTTATTTCTAAACAAGAATATTTTCTGAAATATTCTTATTCTTTATATTTGTGTATGCATGCAAAGGGTTGCGATGGTGCAGTGGGTTAAACTACTAATCTGCAGAACTTGCTGACCGGAAGGTCAGCAGTTCAAATCCTTGAGATGGAGTGAGCTCCTGTTGTTAGCCCCAGCTCCGGCAGTTTGAAAACATGCAAATGTGAATAGATCAATAGGTACTACTTCGGCAGAAAGCTAATGGCGCTCCATTTCGAAGTCATGTCAGCCACATGACCTACAGACAATGCCAGCTCTTCAGCTTAGAAAAGGAGACAAGCACCACCCCTCAGAGTTGGACCCAACTAGACTTAATATCAAGGGAAACCTTTACCTTTACCTATGCATGAGAGAGAGAGAGAGAGAGTTCTATGTTATTTATATATTCGTTGCACTTTAAAACCACCATTGGCTAAAGTTCTGTAAGCTCTGTACAGTGTGTTGAAATACAGAATACAACAATATAATATGGAATGGAACACCTGAAACAAATTCAGATATGCAGATATAGCTGAACGAAGTTACTATTACAGGACTAAGGAACTAAAAGTTAAATACCTACCAATAGTTGGTGCATCCAATAACATATTTACCTACAGTTATTGTTATTTATTCACACCCCTAACAAAGTCTGGGAGAAATTTTAGTATATTGATAGACCCATTTCTGGAATATGAAACCTGAACAGAAAGAAAAACACAAGAGAGCCGTTGAAAGTAAGAAAATACTTTTTAAAATATATATATACAATTAGGCAAAGCATTAACACATTTTGGAGCTTGCTTCTGTATGTGAAGTCACCTGTGAGCACAGTGAAGGTTATTTGCACAGCAATTTCCCAAGATCCCATCTTGGAAGGATTAGAAGTATCCAGAACTACAGGAGAAGCAATTGTCATCCCCCGCCACAAATCAACACTTTTATTCTGATATTAGAAATGGAAATACCAAGAAAACGGTGGAAGAATATTTCAACGTTGTTGGTCATTCCATCCCAGACCTCCAAGGTACAGTTCATTAACAGAACACTTTTAATGGAGATGGAAAAGAAAAAAAGCTGAACGGGTATATATTCACAAACCCCAGTCCATTAATGGAGGTATGAAGGCAAACAATTTTTATTGGCTAATGGCATATATTTAAATATGACTTTAATCACTGTTACATTTGTAATGATAGGATTCTCCCCATGCCAGCTTATTGATGGAGCCCCCGGTGGCACAGTGGGTTAAACCCTTGTGCTAGCAGAACTGCTAACTGATAGGTCAGCGGTTCAAATCAGGGGAGGGTGGGTTGAGCTCCCTCTGTCAGCTCCAGCTCCCCATGCGGGGACATGAGAGAAGTTTCCCACAAGGATGGTAAAACATCAAACATCCAGGCATCCCCTAGGCAACGTCTTTGCAGACAGCCAATTATCTCATACCAGAAGCAACTTGCAGTTTCTCAAGTCGCTCCTGACACACAAAAAAAGAAGCTTATTGATGGCATTTTACTGTTTCTGTGCCAATGTACTAGCCAAATATTTTTCTACACTATGCATATATTTACCTGCTTATCTATGCTTATATACATGTGCATGTCTGTATGTTCACAGTTTACATTACTAATTTGCATTCTAATTTTCAAATAATGATAATGATGATATCATGCATGACCCTTCTCAATCACTGGATCTTTTCGCCATAATTATTTTTATTGATAGCAAAAAGGTACAATCACAAAAAGTAATTGAGACTGACTGCCATCTGATTCACAGTAGGAAATGAAAAGGAAGGTAAGAAAAAAACAAAGCAGTTGCAGGAGGAAAAAGCAGGGTGAGTTTTCCTTCAGAAATGCAGATTTTTTTTGTAACTACTAGAATAGAATATAATTTAACTTTCCTTTTCCTGTTCCCTGTTTCTTCACAATATATGAACTAATCAGTTTATTTGTGGTAAGAATTCTATGCCATCACCCAGCTATTCGTGATTAATTACCAGTTGATGTTTGTACTTTTAATATTTCAGTTTCCTCTCACCTCACTTAATGACCTGCTCCCATCCAACAATGTGTGTAATCATCTGTCAGCTGAGACAACACTTCATGAATCTGTTGAAATGGGCTGCAGTTTACAAAGCTTTATGGCAAATAAAACTTATTAAAGCTTGCAACTAGACACTACTGTTTTGCTCCAACAGAGTAACACTGTTACACTCAGAAAGTATTTGGTTTCATTAAAAAGAATCAAACAAAATATTAATCTGGTATGACAAATAGGGTTGCCAAATCTCAGCATCTGATCCTAAGCCTCAAATTTTCATTGGTTATTTCCAAGCAAGACACGAGGGTACAAATTCTGCAGTTTTGGTGAACTCAGCACCAGACTATCTTAAATAGTAGAATTGCAGTTTCCTAGAATTTGCAAGGGTTGTATTGTTGATGCATCTTGCAAACATTCTTCGTGGGGTGGGGGGTGTCTATGTATTTAGTTAGTTCCCACCATCCCTCCTGGCATCAAGATTTAGCCTCCATTCTGCATCCATCTTTTGGCTTAAATATTTCTTATGCTCCTTATCCTAACCACCTAATTTCACATTGATTTAATTACAACCCCTTTAGCAAAGTTTTTTTTCCTATATTTCTAAACAGCATAATATAGTGTGTGAGTAATTATCATGGGTACCTAATGCATAATGCTTGACACCACCAAAGACCATTCCTAGGTCCCAGATTTTGGCCTATGGACTTGTTTCTGAGATAGTTCTGAAATGGTGATCCTAGTGGCCAGCCTACCTCCACTGCCTACATTAAATAAATGTAGAGTTAGTCCTTCCACATTTGAATCTATTCCTCCAAAATCTCAGGTCAAAATAATCTGACTCAGTAAGCTTCGATCTGTTTACCCATCCATCCATCCATCCATCCTCACCTCTGGCCTTTTCTCAGCTTCTGCTTTCCTCCCAGTTGTGTTACAGCATGCAAGAAATCAGTTAATGTGTGTGTTAACGGTAAAATAAGATGTATGAAGCTGATTGGTCGGGCTGTGCCTGGGGAACAAGCTAAGCCTGGGATTTTTGGTCACTGTTACATTTTTCAGGCTTGAGCTATGCAGGTGCTCTGAGAGATGCAGAGAGAAGAAGAGAGAAGCAGAGAGAGACAGCGTTTAGAGTGTGTTCTTGCTTTATGAGCTGCTAAAGGAGTTTCTCCACATGGACAAAAAAAGACTATTTTAAATCTCTCATAAAAGGACATTATGTGAACTGATGTAACTGATCACATGACTGTACATATGTTGTTATGAACTACGAAGAGTAAACTACTTGTTCTTTATTGTTCATATTTTCTTTATCTGGCAAGGCAGTGTGTGGACTGATTAAATGTGAACTACATGTGGTTTATTTTACATTATGCCACAAGTTTCTCTCATAAGCTGGCTATCAAAGGAAGAGAGTACCAGGAGTGATAAATTACACCACTATGCTCTTCCTGGGAACCTGAGCTACTATTATCTTGCTTTTCTCCCTTTCAGTGCACCTACCTTGTCCCATTCATTTCTCTGGCCCTTGCCTATTGCTGCTGCCATTCCTTCCTTATCCACTCCTTACACTCTGCACTGCACCATTCACCTTCCCTTTCCTCTTTGTGCTACCACATCAACTTCCTTTACACCTTGTGTCACCTTCTCCTCTCTGTCTTGCTCATTACCTTCCTTCCCTCCTTCTTCTCTTTAAGGCATTGCTATCCCTTCGTTATGTGGTCCATCCCATTATTCAGTAGTCGAAAACTGGAAAGAGTGATAAGCCTTTAAACCAAATATCACATTTGTATCCAAGTTATTTAAGATAATAGGATTTAGCTCCAGAATATGGTAATTGAGATCCCTTAATGCTTCCAGTGTATAGAAGGTCCATGTTCCTGGAACAAATGTTGCTGCCTAACAATGAATGTCTATGGACTTCCAAAGTCAACCAGGGAACATATTAATATAACAGAATATACAATATATTCCCTGGAAATGTATCAGATTATTTTTTTTTCTTGTTTCAGTGTGTCATAATGTTTTAAAATGCTTAGCAGGGATGACTACATTTTGTTAATACTCTTGTTCACTTCTGTGCTGTCATCACCAACCCAAAGAATGAAATTGCTGCTGAGAAAATACTGGGTTCTATGTTCAGAGCTTTATAAAAACAGCTGTGAATTAGATATTATTCACAGAGATCAATATTGTTATTTAGACATGATCTTGCTAAAAGCGTGTACTGTTTTATCTTATGTGGCTCTGTCTTGTTTCAAATGAGAAGTTCATTTAAGGCTAAAATAGGCAACATGTTGCCACTTTAAATTGCATATTCTATAGATTTTTTTGGTCCTACAGAGTTATTTTACATGAAGCAGGGTATGACTCATGCTAATGGAAAGGGCAAAGAAGACTTTTTAAAAGAAATATATCACACTTAAATTAGTTTAGACAGCATGACATCAGAGAGTAATTAAATAGGTTTTTGTTGGAATTCCGCTTCCAATTCCTGAGTTCAGGTTTGTAAAAGATTTCTGAGCACCTGCAGGTTTCTGTGTGTGAAATATTTTCACTGGAAGGGATTCAAAACTTTTTTAAAAACCTTTTAACACAGAGGCAGCATTACGCCATTCTTCCTTCTTGGAAAAAAAAACCCTCTCCGATTTAAACAAGAGTCCTTCAAGTTTTTAGTCACTTTTACAGAAGAAAGGGGGGTAGTAAACTTTCTCTTTTCAAGAACAGGCTGCTAGCAGAAACCAGGAGAAGACGGAACGGAGTAAATGAGCATCTCCACTATGGGACTGGATACAAAGATTGGACAAGTAGATTTAAAGTGTTTTAAGCTGAAAATAAAGCTTTTCCTGCTGACTTTGGTTTTCAATTTCTTTCATGTTTTCTTATGCCAAACTAGAAGAGGAATCTTTTCTGAATTTTTCTTTGGAGGCATTCAAAGGAAGACCAGAGGATGAAAATCTTGCACTTTCTTACTTTACTGCTTTGGCACTTTTGTTGGTTTCATCTCGTTCTCATCTCCTTAGTGTTGAGTCCTGCTGAAGCAAGTCAAGGGAATCCAGGAGCCAAATTAGCTGTATCAAAAGTAGATGGAAAAGAGAGGAACCCTTTGCCAAGGGCAGGTACCTTTAGAACGGGAAGCCATGGATATAGCACTGGGAATTCCAAGCCAAGGACAAAAACCAACACTGCTCAAGCTGGAACTCTCGTGGCAAAAACTGATGACTCAAAGAAGGCTCTCCCTAAAGCAGGGAGCACAGACAAAAAGGTAGGAGGACATCCTCCAAACAGGCAAACTGGAGTGAGAACAGTGACTCCAAAGGTTCAGAACTTTGGCCCCAAAGCCCCACCAAAGAAAACTGGCACAGGGAATTCTGATGCCAGCTCCTATAAAAACAAAAAGCCTAAAGACTCTATTGCCCAAAGAGAATCTAAAGAGGCATTAAGACATCCTGCTATCACACCCCACGAATACATGCTTTCCTTATACAGGACTCTGTCTGATGCGGAAAGAAAAGGTGTGAACGGAAGTGTGAAACTGGAGACCGGACTTGCCAATACAATCACAAGCTTCATAGACAAGGGACAAGGTAAGAAAAGCTAATGTTTGGAGATATATTAATGTGCATTTGTTGAATATGAATGCTTCCTTTTTTTTGTATTTATGGAAAGATGTAAAACGTGGCTGATTGCACACATTTTCATGTTTACAATGCAGATTTAAAGAGCATTTTCAGCATCAGAACTGGGATTTTGTAGATGGTTTATGTCGTTACTGTATACTACTAGTAATTTTAAGGCTATTTGGCACAAGGATTTAAAAATAATATATTCTGTGGAATGTGCATCAAAAAAAATATGATGGTGACAGAATGTATCTAGATGCATTATCGCTGGGACTTTAGTCAATATGAAACTTTCAATGGGTTCAACTCTTTAAGTTTGGATCTAAACAATTGTTTCTCCAGCAGCAAGACCAGATCAATCAATATCAATTCAAGCTTTAACTATAAAGGCGGACTTAAGAAGAACAAGAATCAGGCCACCTCTAAATCTTTTTGGGTGGGGGGTGGGGGGGATCTGTAGAAATGAAATGAAATTAAATATACTTTGGTAAATATACATGTGATTTACTCTTGAATCTACTTTAAACCCAGTTGTTGCCTCCAGCACAGTTCTAGGGTTTGTAGTTTAGGGAGGAGCCTTTAACAGCCTCACTAAACTATAAACCCCAGAATTCTGCAAGAGGCAGAAACTGGATTTAAAGTGGATCCATTCTCTAGTGTGATGAAGTAGTGACGATAAGACTGGTAGAGGAATTTATGAGACCATCTGTATTTTTTTAGACCTTCACAAAGTCTATGTAACCTATATCAGAGCTTCAAAATTTTAGGTTTTTTCTGAAGCGGAACTCTCAAAATTTCCCAGCTAGTCAATATAATGATAGAGTCTAAGAAAGCACATTTTCCAAGCTCTGGATCAAGTGCTGAGTGCACAGTGCTCCCAGACAAGTGTCACTGGAAGGTGGGCTGCATACAACTTTGATTATGGAAAGTAGCTTTCATCCATCACTGATTCATGCATTCATTTTCACTGTAAAAGTTTTGGAAGTATGTAAACAAAGGCAAGGCTGTATATGAAGTACCATGAAGACTTTGGATGGCAATGCAATATACAGGTCGTGAAGGGGCTGGTTGTCAAGATTTAAAATATGGTAAGGCAAATATCTTTTTAGGTGATGGTACAGCTTAGATGCTTTATTTTCAAACTTTAAACATGCTTGACTGATGTGTGACTTTCTATTTTATTTTGTTTTCAGTCTGCCAGGGTTGTCTCCATTCATTTATCATAATGCATTACTAGTAAAGAAAGCCACAAACTCTCATTAACAGCCTAGTACAATAATTTTACATATATTTGACTATAAGTTAACTTTCACTGATTAACCTTAATGTGGTGGAGGAAATGGCTCCTGACAATGAAGCAGAAATATTTCCATGTCTGAACTTGAATATTCTAGTAAACTTCTAATTCCTAACAGATCTAATGTGTCATTTCAAATTACAGTAAAGTCTCACTTATCCAACATAAACAGGCCAGCAGAACATTGGATAAGTGAAAATGTTGGACAATAAGGAGTGATTAAGGAAAAGTGTATTAAAACGTCAAATTACGTTATGATTTTACAAATTAAGAACCAAAACATCATGTTTTACAACAAATCGACAGGAAAATCAGTACAATGCACGGTAATGTTAGGTAGTAATTCTTGTATTATGAATTTAGCACCAAAACATTATAATGTATTGTAATAGCTGTGGATGCAGGCGGGAGGCAGACTGCATTGGATAATACAGAACGTTGGATGAGCAAAGGTTGGATAAGAGAGACTCTACTGTAACTGTAGACATTGTATGTTGTTTCAAAAAGCTGAAAACAAAAAGCAAATTTCTGTCTGAGATACATGAATGTCTTCCTTCTTTTCTCTTTAGATGACCGAGCTCCCACTGTAAAAAAGCAGAAATATATGTTTGATATCAGTGCCTTAGAAAAAGACGGCTTACTAGGAGCAGAACTTCGTATTTTGAGGAAAAAACCTTCAGATACCTGGAAGCCTCATCCTCATGGGAAAACATGCCAAGTGAAACTTTTCAGTTGCTCCACAAACCGGCAAGCGTCCATCCTCTTGGACTCTCGGACTGTCAATATCTTAGATACTGCAAAATGGGAAGTTTTTGACATTTGGAAACTATTTAGGAATTTTAAAAACTCTGCTAACTTGTGTTTTGAACTGGAAGCTTTTGAAAGGGGGAGGCCTGTTGATTTAAGGACTGTGGGGTTTAATAGAACAGGGAGGCAAGTCAATGAAAAGGCTCTGTTTTTAGTGTTTGGTAGGACAAAGAAAAGAGACTTGTTCTTCAATGAAATCAAAGCCAGATCTGGCCAGGATGACAAAACTGTTTATGAATACCTATTCAATCAAAGAAGAAAGAGAAGGGCTCCTCTAGCAACTCGACAAGGAAAGAGGCCCAACAAGAATCTGAAGGCAAGATGTAGCAAAAAAGCACTGCATGTAAATTTTAAAGATATGGGATGGGATGACTGGATAATAGCGCCTCTTGAGTATGAAGCTTATCATTGTGAAGGACTCTGTGAATTCCCTCTTCGGTCTCATCTGGAACCGACAAATCATGCTGTTATCCAAACATTAATGAACTCTATGGATCCAGAGTCAACGCCTCCAACTTGCTGCGTGCCAACAAGGCTGAGTCCCATTAGCATCCTGTTTATTGACTCTGCCAATAATGTGGTCTACAAACAATATGAAGACATGGTAGTGGAGTCATGTGGCTGTAGGTAGCAGCACAGCTTTTCACGTGGCTCTCTGGACAAAGCTTTCCCCAGCGGCTGATTTTAATATATGAACTTTGAACACTTCAATTCTATGGACCAGCACTGTATTATTACCCAAAGGGGGTTGCACTGACAATAGCTATAGTTGTATTTTAATGCTGGCCAGTTATGCATATCTACTTTCTATGCAGCCTCTCAGCTGCAACCTCTGCAAGGAAACCACCAAACCTTGTACATGGATGATTGCCCAATGCTTTGGACTCTGTAGTGGCGGAAATGCCTCTATGCATAATGACATTATAATCAGTCACATCCTCAATTATTCTTCCGCTGGGCACCTTGTCAATCCATTTCTGTGCCACTGAACAGCTGTGGCACATCTGGAGATGTTTGTGATTGCCAGCATAAGAGCTCTAAAATATCTTGGCACAATCATGCCATATAAATTCATGTGGCAAAGCCATAGGTTATGCTATTGCACGAGTGTAGCAAGGTTGTGCTTGTAACTAGTGAATTAGCTGATAGGCTCAGGCTATATGTTTTTGAAAAAAAAACTGGAATAACAATTCACTTATTGTGGACACATTGTAGCACATTGTAGCACTAATTTGCTACTACTAGTCCTAGTGGTGGCCTAAGATATTTTGGTGAGTGAAACAGGGCAAGATAAGGTGTTATTCCCACTCAGCCTTTTTGCCCCTCACTCTTTGGGCTGCAGGTGGAGGATGCTTTAAAACGCCTCATTGTATCATTCTGGCATCAGTTTTTGCTCTGATTTCTCCATAATTTAATAGCATGGCATACCTGTCCATGCCTGGATAACCTCTTAGCAAAACGATGTAATACATCTTCCTCAAAGGACATTTAGATTTTCATATCATATTAAGTTTTGAATTTGCAGGGACGTTGGCAAACCTAATGCCAATAGGTTCCTTAACAATGGTAGTTTGAAAGCCTAAATAATGTTAATCCCTCTCTACAGGATTAATCCTCAGTGTTCATTGTCAGCATATGCATTCATTTCACATGTACTTGAAAATAATCCTGATATCTTTGCAAAACACCATGATTAAACTAATCAATTTTACACAAATAGTTGTAAGCAACATTTCATACTAATTCTTAAGACTGTATATTTGATAGAATATTGATTTTCCTATAAATTGTACACAGACATGGATTTAGAGAACTTCGGGGGAACTTATTTCTTCCATTGTATATTATTTTTCTTAAATATCATGCTTTTAAATAGTATGTTCAGTCTGTTTTATTATTCTCCTTATCATTTGTGCTGTCTACTAATGGTCATAGAAAAATCAACTTAAGATGTAGTAAATTATTTGACAGTGTTAAATGTATCTAGATGGCATAGTTGCCATAAATATAAGTTTATTAGAATCTTTGTTTTCAGTGTTTTGTTCAATTAATAAAAATCAAAGAAAACAGAAGTGAGACAGGCTGTTTTTATGAACATTATATGGATGTACATACAGCGAACATCAATCAAAGTTATTTTGTTTCAAGAGGACTCTAAAAATATTACAGAGAAAGTGCTATGACAATAAGTTGCAAAGGCTTTCTTGGGAAAAATAATTACTCCAAGGTCTATTTCACACTACATGGTTACAGTATTTTCGTAGCACTTTAAAAGCCATGGCTCCATCCTCTGGAAAACTGGAAGTGGTATTTAGTAATCTCTGACACAGAGCAGCAGCAGCTCACAAAACTATTAGTCCCCAGATTCCATAAGACAGAGCTATAATTGTGCAATGTGAAGCCTAAGCAAAAACACACAAACAAACAAACTTACAGCTTCATCACACCAGAGTATGGATCCACTTTAAATCTGGTTTCTGCCTCCTGAAGAATTTCGGGGTTTGTAGTTTAGTGAGATCCAGGACCTACCTGGCTGAGCAGTTTAAAGACCCCCTCCCAAAACTACAAATCCCAGAATTCTGCAGGAGGCAGAAAATTGATTTAAAGTGGATCCACGCTCTAGTGTGACAAGGTCCTTAGAGCTGTGTGCTGAAGCCCTTTGGCATCAGTGGCCTTATGCATGCCCAACTCTGTTGTACTGAGCATGGTTTTTTCTGAATGCTATTTTAATTTAATTAGTCCCTTGTCTTGACCATTTATATACAATTCCTCTTCTAAAGCCCGGTGCTTATGCTTAAGTAACACACACACACACACCCTTCTAAAACAAAGAATGCAGAAATCTAATTACAAACCCTGATATATAGAAATAAGATTAATTGAAATCAGTCAGGTTCATGCCAATGCAATCCTTTGCTCCAAAAATAGTGTATGGAATATATACTACTGAAACAGCAAGTGTAGCCTATGGTCATTCAGCCAAGGAGGGAAAAACAAAGCCAGATAATACAGGAATGGTCTTAAAATGACAGACATAGCTATTTGGAAACTCAACCATGCTCATGAGACTGTCATGGAAACTGCTACTTAATTAATGTTCATGGGGATATACTTCCAGTGTACTTCTATCTCTTCCCCAATACTGCCATGCTCTTTCCCACTACTGCTATGCTATTCTGCACAGTACACCACAGAAAAACATTTTAAACCAACCAGGAAATGTTTGTTTTGAAAGGGTTTTACCTAGGTATGCCACTGATTTTCAGAAGCATGTTAGAGGAAGGTATGGGGTAGCAAAAGTGGACTTGGGGGAATGTACTACTCCCACCTGTTTTACAGAGAGGTTTCAAATTGCATTATGCACTATACAATCACTGTTTGGGAGCACAGCACATGCAGGGAAAACACAGCGCCCATTGATAGTTCCACAAAATATATCTCATACATAGCTGCCTTAGTAAAATTAATGGAGGGAAGATATGCAACTTATCTAAAACTAGAAGACCCACCTATGGAGGGAAATATTCTGTTATCAAGCTGTTGAAGGGAATGGCTAGGCAATGCTACAAGAACAGCTATGCATATTGCATTTGCATAAGTTTTGGAACAGAAATGGGAAAAGTATGGCCCATATGTGTCCCATTAGAGCCATTTGTGCTCTAGCCCTAGAGTATGCAGCAAAGAATGAGGAGAGAGGAGATGCAGTACCTCCAGGGAAAGGATGCAGGAGCCCACACAACTGTTGATGGCTCGAAACGAACACCACTGCAGGGACAAAGTGAGAGGACAACCAGGACTTAAACCACCCCCTCTGAAAGCTTTCACCAAGGAGCTTCTGAACAATCAGTTATGTCAGAAGATTGAAATCAGACAGGTCAACAGCATTTTCCCCAAGGCTAACCTTAGCATAGTAGAACTGGGGATTAGGATTAAGGGAGCCCTAGCTAGGTGTGACAGGTTATATTCTACATGCAGAATATTCTGGATTCAACTCCATCATATAATTCCACACTAAAGGGCGCATGCAAACACACTTGAACTTATTTGGAGAAGGAGTAAATGGGCAACAGTCTAGCTCCCACATTTGTCAATTTTTTTAAATAAAAATATTTATATGGTGTCCTAAATCATAGAATACTCCCCTTTCTTAAAGGGAATATTTGATGGAGTGGATGCATTGAGAGAAAGATTTGTTTATGCTGTTGCTAATCCAGTGCCTTAGCTGCAGGACCCCCAGGTGCAGACAATTTTGTCCACAAATTGGAGATGGGCAGCATCCATGGCATTAGGTTAATGCTAGGAGCTCCTTTATCTGTCAAATAGTTGTATTTGAACTGCTTGCAAAGTACATGAGCCTATCTGGAGTAAACAGGTCAGTAAACTCAGAGGAACTGTGAGTAATGCTGATGAACATATTAAGGAAACTAAATCTGTAGGAAATCAACTTATTGAGTGTGGAAGGAGAGACAGAGAAGGAGTGAAAGAGATTGAGCCATTTCTATATCAGAGATAAAGTAGGTATCTGTCAGGGAAAAATAGAGACAAAGGTGATACCACTTCGCTCTTCAGCCATTTTCCTGCTCCAGGAAAATGGCTTGCTGCTTGTACAGTCATTGTAGGTATATTTGTACTCCTCCCTTATGAAGTTGCAATGGATTATATGTGTGTGCGTGCGGGGGGAGGGGGCATTAGCTTGTTTTACTGTATGTATCTGTGCTGCAATCTTGCAAAGGGCCTCATCAGATGGGCAAAACTGCCTATAGTACAATACACTCACTTCACTTGCAGCAACTTCAATCTACTTCTCCATCCACTGCCCATGTGCCAGTCTGTGACTAGGGGCTTCCAGATTTCACAGTCCTGCCCTCATCGCCACTTGCTGATCACTGTGGGACTTTTGTTGGTTTGTTTTTATTTTCCTTGGAAGACACCTGTGGTTAATTTTTTTAATGTGTGGAGGTCAGTGCACAACTGATCAACACAGTCTTCACAGAGTGAGGTTCCACTGGTAGCATAGTTTAACAAGACAACCGTCGCTTCTCAATCTGTTGCAGCCTTCTTCCACCTTCACAGCCATTGAAACATGTACCACGTTATCCTCCACCTGCTCCACCGTTGAGGTCTTTGGGTCTTCGGACTGTGCTTGGTCTGGAACTTCCCTTGCGGCCACTCCTGGGAGTACACGACTCCAGTTGTTGTGCCCACAGTGAAGTGAAAGCACGGTAAGCCACTGCCCCAGCAGGACAGGAGGCTTCCCATATTGCATAGGCAACAATGGGGGGAAGCCGGACGGCAGGCACTCCCCCCGTGGGATGGGGTGAGGGTTAAGATGGGTGATGCGGGGCAATTTTTAACTACAGTTCCTGGTTTCCATTAGCCATACTGGCTAAAAGGTTCTAGCAGTTACCATCAAAAAAGGTAATGCATATTTTTTGGACAATATGAACTTAGGAAATGTTTTATTAAATGAATTAAAGTCCATGTATACATCACAGAAAGCACAGTTAGTTACTAATGGATAATGAGAATTTACAAGCATCAAAAAGGAATAAGACAAAGATGTTTGCAAGCTCTACTTTTGTTCATTTTCATCCTTCAGGTATTGAATACAGAAATTTACAGGAATAAGGATTTCAAAAGAGACTCATAAATTAAAGGCATTTGATGGCTTAGTGATAGTTTTGGAAAACCTATTGGAGTCTATAGAAGTGTTGATGGAAAAGTAAAAAGATGTTGGTATATTGCCAGGTTTGAAGATTAATCAAAAGAGAAAGATGTTAGTGGAAAATAAGAATGTAGAGGATTGACGATGATTGATGGCTGCAACCTTGGAAGACTTTCAAAGGAAGCAATAATTCCTCTGAAATAGGTCTTTTGAAAGCTTTATCTTGTTCTTGTGTCAAATGATGCTACCTACCTATCCTCTTCGATACCCAACTTACTATTTTCCCACCATCTCTCCCCCCCTCTCGTACGAACCAATGTATACGTTTGGTCTCCATTCATCCCCATTAATTAGGTTTTTACGAGGAACTGGAACATCTAGTCTTTTATCACGACCCCCATTACAACCCCATGCTTTTCTACCCCGCGCCTTTTTGTAACCCTCCAAACCAACCAATATTAAGAACAATATGTTAAAACAGGCAAGATTAAATGTGTTCTTGTTGGGGGAGAAT